TTGCCTCTGATCCCTCACTGTGCCTGTCCTGCCCTGTCTTGCCTCTGATCCCTCACTGTGCCTGTCCTGCCCTGTCTTGCCTCTGATCCCTCACTGTGCCTGTCCTGCCCTGTCTTGCCTCTGATCCCTCACTATGCCTGTCCTGTTCCGTTCACCAGCAAGTTTTATTCTCTTTAATTGCCTTTAATTTAATGTACCATTAATGTCCCTTTAATTCCCTTTAAAATTAGATTTTGGTAAATCGATCTTTTACTCTAAATGTGCTTTTTTCATTCATTTGCAGACAGTGTTCCCCGTGCCACGATCAAAGACCTGACCTGTTGTTTGCATGTCCCCCTTGAGTTGCGTGGTGAACCCAGTTTCCTCTGGCAATCCGATGATGTGTGGTTAGGTGAATTTGCCATTACATGTGAGAGCATGTGCCCAGTGATGGACTGGCATCCTGTCCAGGGTGTTCTCTGCCTTCTGCCCTGTGTGCTTCCTGGCAGAGCATAGAGTGTCCCTGTACTAAATGAGCAGTTGGTAGATTAATGGATGGATGGATGGAGAATCAGGCGCTGTGACGTTAATTCCTGAGTTTGATCTTTATATGTGTTTGGGTTAACAAAAGAGATTTTCTTGACACTTACTTTTTCCTCCCATAACTCATTGCTCATATAAAAGGTAAAGTTTAGGTTATAATAAGGTACTCTTTCGGAATTTTTGGGAATGACATTCTAGTGATTAATACCTAAAGTAGAAATGATACAAGTGTCCTCATTTTATTACCGGAACTAATATATGCATTATTGCTTACAAAGCAAATAACAGTGTGTATTGCAGAGGCAAACTTCTATTTCTCTGTGTTGACAGTGATGTAAAGTTTATCTCTGTATAGTGACTATGGGTGACAAGATGATGAGATGTGTCTTCCTGTCACCTGATCGAGAGGTTGATTCTAATTGTGTGATTCTGTTCCCTTAATGTCTGTTCTGCAAAGTTTGGCTGCAATGAGACTCCCTGAGTCCTCTCAGAAGAGACCACTTGCTCAAAAAAAAAAATGAGCGTAGGGTTATTTATCCCCCACAAGAGGGCACTGTGTCGCACTACAGTGCATGTGAAAATTGTTTTGGGTGAACACCTCAGGTAATTACACAGGATCATGCCACCAATGTGCGCATCGTGTTTCCAGGGGAGGAAGACTTCTGATGGCTACCTGGTAATGCCATCTGTTCTAATAATGTTCACCGCGTGTCGCCCTCTCCCTGAGTAATTCATGAGTCTGTTGGGTTTTTGGGGAATAGTTGGCAGTCAAACCCTGTTATAGCATGAAATATGAGTGTAGGATCTATGAGGAATGGTTGATGGACGGAGTCCAGGCCTTAATGAGGTTCATGACTGGGCTTTTTTGTCTAAAATAAGTTGGGTGAAGCCGAAAGGTGGATGTACAGTATACTGAGCCTGCCTATAGTTGACCATGGAGCTGTCTGTCATGAGCCACACAAAGCCAGATCCTACAAAACAGGCACAAGCTGTCTTCAGATGGTCTGCTGAGCTCGTTGCTGCCCAGGTCATTTCGCATGGCAGAGACCCACTTTGGGTTGATTCCTCCAGTCACAGTAGAGTCACCATTGTCTGTGCCAAGTCGGTGGCTTGGCATTGAACTGGACTTGATGAGTCCATATCATGTACTGGTTGCAGTGAGTTGACTGCAGTGTTTTAACATTAAAAATCCAAAACTCCAGAGTCATGATTAAATAATGGCGGTATGACAGGAACAATCAATAATTAAGCAGCTGAATATGTCATTAGCTTGTCACTGGCTTTTGCATAGAAGAGAGTGGAAACGCCATTTACTTGTCAGGCTTTTCTTAGACCAAATCACTATATTGCCTTTTTACTGCCACCTGGTCAGTAATATTGTACAGTACAGTAGTAGTGTTGAACTGGTTGTTCAAACTTGACAGGAAGGTTATCTCTTCTGACCTCTGACCTTTCTTTGTTAGTCCGGGAAACAGGCTAGGAAGTTCACCGCCATCAAAAGTGCCCATGAGCGTGACTTTGGGATGGTCCCGATGAGCGAGCAGGGCCGTGACAGTCATCCGTGATGTCACACCTCTATGTGGCCCTAGAAACAGGGCGATAGTAATGACGACTAGAGTAATGAGGGATGTGTGTTTAATCTGAGGCTTAGCTACAGACAAGCCTGAATTTCAGTGCCTGGCACCAGTTTGGTAAGCAGCTGTTCTAGTAGAGCTCCCCTGAATCCTGCCATCCC